ACATGGTATACCCCAACACCCAGAGGTCTTGGACTGAGTGTAGTTCGATGAGTACAGGCGGTAGGCAGATGAGAAGTACCAGGAGGTCAGCCACACTCAGGTTCATGAGGAAGTAGTTGGTGGAGTTCCTCATGTCTCGGTCCTTGAGGATAACGACGGGGACCAGGACATTACCCACCACACCCACCACTAGCACCACACTACAGAACACCGTCGATACCACCCGGATATACTCGGGGAAGACGGGCATGTTGGTGGCGGTGGTGGTGGTGTTGGTCTCGCTCCCAAAGTCCGTCCCGTTGTAGAGTAAGTCGGTGATGTTATCCGCTCTGGTTGTGAGGAGAGGCGGGTATGATGACACAAGGAAGGACTTCGGGTACGAGACTGGGTATGGGTTCTGGGAGGTGGCGTCAAGCAGGGCGAAGCTGGGTCCTCCTGGGGTTATACCGAGGGACTCCTGAGGACGATACTCAGCGAACGGGTCCTCGTAGTCCACTCGCTCCATCCTCGTTAAGATTTTCAACAAATTCACTTATTTATCTCTTTTTATTTTCTTTCTCCCGGACACTTGCACTTAAGTATCTACTTATTTAGCACTTAGCGTAACTTTATTAGTGACGTCATGATTATATAAAGTCAGTAAAGAACACATTCCCGAAATAAACACACTTAGATGTTATTATTCTTCCTTTTACTATACTGTCACTTGAACACTTGAACACTTGAACACTTGAACACACCCAAGTCTTTAAAGTGCCAATTCAGATACTTTACAAATAACACATGTTTGTTACAGATAAATTACAGGTATGTCTTTTCCACAATACCGTCCAGAATATTAGAGACTCACACACACACACACACAGACACAATAAACAAGTCGTTGAGGTACACTACTTGACACAACACAGAAACAGGAGACCTTACCTAACTAGTCCAGGCTCCCTCGCTACACTAACCGGCGCTTCTCTCACACCTGTAAAGATATAAAACGTAAATTGGTGACAGGTAAGAATATATATATGTGACTAAAAATAAATAAACACTCTGTAAGGGAATAAAAAATAGGTGAAGGTGAAGACAATATGTACACAGAGATCAGGACAAATTATGACAGTTGTTTGTGAGTTGTTTTTATTCTCTCTTAAACAAACATCACGAAATATAACATAATTTTGATGTCCTATGGTATATAAATAGTATGACACTTTTCTATTAAATTCTAAAGTGACTCATAATCAAGGTCAGGGTAATATAAGTATGTTGAGTTAGGTCAAGATAGGTTCACTGTATAGAATAAATAAATTTTCACAAATCTTAACTGAATATCCTAATGGAACATAACGTAACTTAATCTAACCATATCAGAACATGAATATACATGCCAAATGACATGAAACGGAGCAATTTCCCTGTAAACACACACACACACACACACACACACACACACACACACACACACACACACATATAGAACATTTATTCTTATATTGTTTCAGTGTTCAGTTCGACACACGCTGCGCTGAATAATTCAAACTATCAAATTGAATGAATAAGAGTCAAACATGGATTGACTTCCTCTTTTTCTTTTGAAGTTTGACTGTCAAACACGAGCAACCTGCTGGGTGTAGACACGAAAACTGTTACACCTACGTCATGTACACTGGCTCTTACACCCACAACACTCACACCTTTTAGATATAAAGAAAAAAAATGTCTAAGATCATAGCACTGTCCCGGACTTTCAGAACATCGTCAGGTAAGATCTTTGACTCCTGCTGGGGATAGAGGAACTCATCTACGGGATTTGATTGAACCGTAACTTAAATAGACCAAGGAAAATGGCGCCGTAATTCCTCTGAAACTGTATTGTAACTTATAGATTTCTCTACCTCCTAAACTACCCTCCCTCCCACAACCTCCTCCCTCATTCCTTCTCTCCTTCTTCCCTCATTTCTTGTCTCCTTTCCTTCTTCCTTCATTTTCTCTATCCTTCTCTTCCTTCCACCATCCCAGTCTCCGCCCCCTCTCTCTCTCTCTCTCTCTCTCTCTCTCTCTCTCTTCTTCTCTCTCTCTCTAATCACTCCAGAACATGACAGATAAGACAGCCACGTCCACTATGTCTGAAACATATCAAACATAATTGTTGTCATTAATTAATGCCTAGGATGGCTGTGACTGACTAAGAATAGTTGGGAATGGCGAGGAAGAGCTGGGAATGATTAGGAATAGCTGGGAATGGTGAAGGGAGGGCTGGAATTTATTAGGAATAGTTGGGAATGACAAGAAAGGTCTGAGAATTATTAAGGATAGCTGGGAATAGTTGTAATGGCTGGAAACATTGGTCAAAAAGACATAGACTAAAAAACCAATGGAAGTTAGTCCTGAAGTTGAAACCTCAGAGGGGAGAGTTTTCCCTATGTGAATGTGAGGGTGAGATGATGACTACCTGCGTGTGTGTGTGTGTGTGTGTGTGTGTGTGTGTGTGTGTGTGTTTATAGTGACACACACACACAAAATTATCAATAAGACTTGTATAATTTATCTTTATAAACGGGTTAAATAAACAGTATCAGTATCAGTTCTCACGGGGCGTCTAATCAGTCAGCCTAACGTTTAATCACGGTCTTGGTGTTGATATCAGGTCATGTACGGGTGTGATATCAGGTCATGTACGGGGTCTTGGTGTTGATATCAGGTCATGTAAGGGGTCTTGGTGTTGATATCAGTCATGTACGGGTCTTGGTGTTGATATCAGGTCATGTACGGGTCTTGGTGTTGATATCAGGTCATGTAAGGGTCTTGGTGTTGATATCAGGTCATGTAAGGGGTCTTGGTGTTGATATCAGGTCATGTAAGGGTCTTGGTGTTGATATCAGGTCATGTAAGGGGTCTTGGTGTTGATATTGAGTCATGTAAGGGGTCTTGTGTTGATATCAGGTCATGGGACTGGTGTTGATATCAAGTCATGTACGGGGTCTTGGTGTTGATATCAAGTCATGCACACAATTTGGCTTTGTGGACGGCTGCTGTCTCTCAACCAAGTAGCGGAATCTGACAATTACTGAATGGAATGTTGAGGGCGGACGTGTAGAATGTTGCATGTGGTGATTTACATGAGGATACAGTCTCTCTCTCTCTCTCTCTCTCTCTCTCTCTCTCTCTCTCTTTTACTCTATCCAATACATCACTTATATACATTAATTAGTCATATATAGAAATACACACATTCTTCCTATACATGCGACCCCACACAAGAGTCACACGTACATACATACATACATACATACATACATACATACATACATACATACATACATACATACATACGCCACACTCAGCCATTTAAACACACGACTCAGCAAGCAAGGTACAAAAATACTACAGTCTGCCTCTAGTGAATTGGGATTGTTAGTGGCACTCAGATAACTGGCACTAAATTGGCCTCTGGAATGCAATATGTGCTGAGTGTCTTAAAATTAGTTAGTGATGTAGACAATGGCTTAAATAATTAGTTTAGTTGGTGAATAATATGGACCAATGGGAGACGGTGAGAGCATGACGTGTATTTTCCCCGACCAATGAGAGAAGAGGAACACTTTCTTGGCCAATGGGTGAGAGAGTATATACAGTATATATATTTGTCGTCTTGAGGAAAATTTGTTTGTTTATATCTTGTATGCATGTATATATGTATGTGTATTTATATGTATATGTGTTTATATATATGTGTATGTATGTATTATTGTTGTGATCCGCGGAGAAGAACACCAACCTTACATCTCCCCACCACCACCACTCACCACCCCCAACAAACTCCCCCACTACCACCCCTCACCACCCACACCAACCACACCAACCACACCACACCACCACCACCCCACCCTCCATCACCCCACCACCCGCACCACACCACCCCACCACCCCCCAACACCCCTCACCACCACCCCTCACCACCACCCCTCACCACCCCCCACCACCCGCACCACACCACCCCCACTCCCTCCATCACCCCCCACCACCCGCACCACACCATCCCACCCCCTCCATCACCCCCACCCACCACCCCTCACCACCACCCTCACCACCACCCCCTCACCACCCCCCACCACCCGCACCACACCACCCCATCCCCCTCCATCACCCCCCACCACCACCCCTCCATCACCCCCACCACCACCCTCACCACCCCCTCACCACCCGCACCACACCACCCCACCCCTCCATCACCCCCACCACCACCCCTCACCACTCCCCACCACACCACCCCACCCTCCATCACCCCCACCACTCTCACTAAAAACTTGTAGTTGTCGAGGAGTCCCAAGATTATTTTTGTTCTGGTCGGGAAGTTTCAGTTGTTTGTTGGTGAAATTACCCTTCTAGTAATTACCTTAATTACACCTTATCGGAGGCTGCTGGACGAGGTCGAACACTTAAAGACGAGTAATCGACAGTGCCAGTATGAGTAATCGACGTGTTAGTATGAGTCATCGACAGTGTCAGTATGAGTAATCGACAGTGCTAGTATGAGTAATCGACAGTGCCAGTATGTAATCGACGTGCCGTATGAGTAATCGAGTTATGAGTAATCGACAGTGCAGTATGAGTAATCGACAGTGTTAGTATGAGTAATCGACAGTGCCAGTATGAGTAGTCGACAGTGCCAGTTTGTGTAATCGACAGTGCCAGTATGAGTAATCGACAGTGCTAGTATGAGTAATCGACAGTGCCAGTATGAGTAATCGACAGTGCTAGTATGAGTAATCGACAGTGCCAGTATGAGTAATCGACAGTGCCAGTATGAGTAATCGACAGTGCCAGTATGAGTAATCGACAGTGCCAGTATGAGTAATCGACAGTGCTAGTATGAGTAATCGACAGTGCTAGTATGAGTAATCGACAGTGCCTGTATGAGTAATCGACAGTACCTTTAAAGCGATCTCTAATGGGTTGTTATGTGATGCATCATTAGTGAAACCATCCTCCTCCAACCACCATCCACCACCAACCACCATCCACCACCATCCACCATCCACCACCAACCACCACCAACCACCATCAACCACCACCAACCACCACCAACCACCATCCTCCACCAACCACCATCCATCACCAACCACTATCCACCACCAACCACCATCCACCCTGTTAGCATATATAAAGGCATTAACTGTTATCTAATTACAAAAGTTTAAATAATGTGTCAATATTAACAAAAACTTTAACCTTTCATATAATAAAAAAAGTTTCTAAAATTAAAAAAAATATATAAAAGTTTCCAAAATAACAAAATCCTAAGGTGTTCCCAGGCAGAATCTTCAAGAAAATAATCCGCTGTTAGTTTTAGGAGCTAACACACAAGTACGTTACCCTTACAAACTTTGCCCTATACGAAAAGTTTGATTACTTTTATTTTTTGTCTAGGAAATTGAATTGGTTGAAAATAGACTCCAGATCATTTCGTTGATTGGATTGAAGTTTAATATTATATGGGGGTTAATAGACGGTATCCACTGTCTATTTCGTCACTTAAATAGGACAGAAATGTACGTACTTATGTCCGTTATAAGTACAGAAACGACCCTGTCTACGTACCTCCATAAGTTCAAAGATTTACATAATAATTTATCTTATTAATTATAAACACGTACACCCGACACCACTTCTACCTGGTACAAAGTCAAACCTAACCTAACCTAAACTAACCTAAACTAACCTAAACTAACCTAACCTAACCAAACCAAACCCAAACATAACCAAATAAAGACCAAGGGAAAAATTGACCTCTAAAAACAGGTCACACAAAGTTGTTCATGTTTTGTGAAGGACATGCAAAGAGGCGAAAGACAGGTAAATATTATCTTACCTGTACTCAAAGGTATTAGCTCAGATGTATTGGATAAAGGACATAGTGGAGCTTTGATGTTAAGGGGAATAAGAGTGAGGGAGAAAGAGATAAAGAAGAAAAAGGGA